GTGGGTTGAGGAATGAACAGAAAATGAAGTGAATTCAGATCATTCTTTCAAGAGGCTTATTTATGAAGGTAAGAGCAGAGATTATAGCTAGAAGAAAACTCAGGATCAAAAGCAGTTTTTCTTTAAGACGGGAAAGATATGGGTACATTTACTTGTGGAGGAGAAATCAGTGGGAAAAGATCTCAGGGGTAAGCAGGAAAACAAAATTGATGCCACAGAAATTATTACAAGCAGAGATACAGCACGGAGGTTTGGAGGAGGGATTAGCTTTAGAGAGAAGACCTTTAGACTGGTAGGGGGTAGAGAATTGGGGGTTTTAGAGGGGCATTGATATCTAGTTTAGTTTAATTGCACTCCAGATGTGTGATTTCCTCTTTCTTACTCTTTGGAGAGTGTGCATGCCAGGCTGCCTCCACTCCTTCATTCACACCACTTCAGGAGAGGTGGACCTAATGACCTAGTAAATTTGACTAGAACAACCGAGCATTAGAATTCTTGGTTGAATTCCAGCCACTCTTCCTTTTGGGAGCAGTCTCTCCTACAGAGAGCATATGTTCTCCTGCTCCTTCGAGGACACACTTTTCCTCACCACACAGGAAGAGTTGCTTTGGTCCATTGCTGCCTTAAACTTGATTCTATGTACCTCACTCTGACTCAGCATTGTAAGACTCCTGTGAGTAACATACACAAAGCCATATCCTACAACCTGGCATTTGTAAGTAATAAAGATGGTATTTTGGCCTCTGTCACTCCTTTCTTGCATATCTCAAATAGGTCAGTGTAGAAGAGGATCATCTTTGTGTTAATCTTTTACTCATCAAGCACAGCACTGCTTACGTGAATTTGGACAACAGCTCGTGGCTCCCCACTGTCTGGTCTTCCATTATTTATTGGACATGGTTGCCCAGATGAGCCTATATTTCCCAGCCCCCTTGCAGCTAAGTGTGGCCATAGGACTTCGTACTACTATGGAAGGGGATCAGCAGTAATGAGCGTAACTTCCACCTCACTTGATTAAAAGAAAGTTACTTTCCCTATTTCTTTTGTCTGATACCTTAGATATGGCTAGAGGCTTAGATGTGCCTAAGATCTTAGACCTTAGATATGGCCATGAGCTAGTTAGACTTTGTAGAAGAGGAATGAGCCCCAAGGATCAGCAGAGCACGAATAGGGAGGGAATCTGAGTTGCCGAATATTCAAGTAGAGCCCACTAGGCTCTAGGCCACTAGGCTGCCCTGGGCTGTTACTTGACAGAGAAATAGACATTTATCTCATTTAAGCCATTGTATATTTGGAGCTCTTTCTGATGGCAGTTTAACCTTTACCTTAAAAGCCAGGACTGAGTTGTTTGGGCCTTAATATTTTAAAATCCAGAGATGAAAAAAAATAAAAAATAAAAAAATAAAATCCAGAGACGTAGATGGAATTTGACCTACTAGAGTCTTTAGCTATGAACTAGACCACAGAGGTATAGATACGATTGTTTCTTATATAAATGAATAGCATAACTTCTAATATTAAAAAAATGTGACAACCATGGGCATAATATGTTCCAAGAAAGGTGGGAGGGACAGAAGGCTCCGTTTATGCTCGTATGTACAAGAAAAGAAGCTAAATAAACTTATACTCACTCTAATTCTGTTTATTTGTACCAATTAATTTTCAGTCACATTAGGAAAAGATGAACTGAGAAAATTCTTCCGGGCATTCTAGGCAGAGAGCACAAATAGCAGGCGTAAGGTTAATAAGCCACCAATGAACTCAGCATCAGGAAGAACCATGTACCTGGCACACTGGGGAGGAGAATCACAGGAAGTGAGCTGAGGCAGATTGGCAGGTCCTTGTAAGTCAAGATAAGAAATAGGGATTTGACTTTAGGCATGATGGAAGCCATTAGAAAATTTTAAGCAGCTCAGTAGCAAATGAAGGGATCTGTCTTTTAAAAATATCATTCTAGAAAACGGATGCAAGGGAAGAAACAGGGAAACTGATTAGGAGATATTGTAATAACCCAGGCCAGTAACCATTGGACAGTGGTTTAGATCTTTTGAATATTGAGCACAGCAAGCCCCTTTATTAGCAGCAAAGTAATAAATAATATTTAGTTGAAGTGAAAGAATTCAACAAATACCAAAGATGTCTGTCTGGCACTCATTAGCCAGAACATTCCTTCACTCTCAAGCTCCAGGATTGCTGCTGGCTGCTCCCAACATGCCTTTGTTCCCAGGGAGTGAAATGTCTTGGCTCAGCTCAAAAACCGTGAACGGGGGCTCTCAACCACAGCTGCTTGCTTCTGGGAACATGATCAGCAAAATGGATGTCTAGATTTTCAATCAAGTGAAATACCAGCTAGCCTTTTGGTTTAGTACTTCCAAAGTCAGTTGCTGCCAAGTCCAGTCAATACTGTGAGCTGTTCAAGAGGCTTCTACAGCTGCTTGGCCCTAGAGAGACTTGTGGTGGTGGAGCTATTGACAGCTCACAGATGGAAGAGCTTTCAATGTTAGTTGGTCCAGTGTGCTGGAAATAACAAAATTGGCAAGAAACAGGTGACTTCCGATTGGCACAGAGATGAGGTACCAGGAAACTGGCACAGATGAATCTAACCTAAAGAAACATCCTAAAACATATAGTAGGTTGTTTCTTTTTCCTTGCTCAGCTAGTTTCCTTGCTCTAAGCTTGATATCTGATGCAGGCTTGACTGACTCCTTTAGATGCAGGAGCCCTTCCTGTTGTGGGTGCTCCAGGAGCACCAGAGGTAAACAGGTAGCAACCTAGAGAACTCCCAACCATGATTCTGAAACAGATACCACCCACCACTGAGAAACCAATTCAAATAGCCTCAATCTGAGGAAAAAATAGTCTTGTATCTGTGTTCAGGCATTCTCTCAAATGACACACGGTGTACACCTACTTTAGAAATTTCAGTTTTTCAGGTCTTTTCTCCCTGTGTGTGTATGTGTTTGGCAACAGCCCAGACCCTGACACTATACAAATTATGAAATAGCATTCCCATTACCATCATCTTATAAAATATGGTATATTTAGCAGTTAGCAAAGAATTGTATTTGAAGCTTGCATGTAAATTTTTTAGAATATTCTATGTAACTTTGGACCTTACAATTGAGTTAGGATATAAAAGTTTGAGTAATTATTCAGAAAGAGTAAAAAAAAAAAAAGAAAAGAAAAAAAAGAGCCAAGGAAGTATATAACTTATTGACACACAGATATGAAAATAAAACTCAAATTGGTTTCCTAAGTCTGATTAAAAAACAAATAGTAGTCTCCATATAATCTGAAGGATTTTTTTTTTATAGTTAGTAAGCGGCCTTCTACAGTGTACCACAAACTCCTGAAGGAAGAAATGAGCAATTATCTCTATTCATGAAAGGCTCATTGAGAGAACATAATCATGGGGACAAATTTAGGATAAATGCAAAATATTTCTTCCCCATGGAAATTGTCAGAGACTAGAATCCCAGGGGCTTATGTGGAATCTTCCCCTTGACTATATAAAGGGGGAGACAGAAGACAAGCAGTTACCTCCTGAGTATCTTTCATTCTTAAATTGTGGCTCATCTGTGTCAGATGGACTCTAAATGTCATCATCACCTGGAAAATTTGGGTGATGAGCTAGGTTTTGCCATTATCCAAATAACCACTGTATGATGGAAGTAGGATCTCCATGGTAGGACAGTTGTCCCTTAAATAGAGAAGGTAAAATACAGAAGGAGGAAAGTATCTTGAAAGCAAGCAAGTATGAAAAAGTTCCTGCCATCCTCAAAACAGACACTCATCAAAAGAAGTCTCCTGTACTTGTATTTCAATATTTATCTTTTAATATGGGGCTTATGATGGGGTTACATCCTGATAAACTCATCATAAGTTGAAAATCCCATAAGTCAAAAACATATTTAATATGTCAAACCTACCAGACATCATGGTGCAACTTAGCCCACCTTAAGCCACGCTTACATTAGCCTACAGCTGGGCAAATTGTCTAACACAAAGCCTATTTATCATAAAGGGTTACAAATCTCATGTCACTTATTGAATATAGAACTGAAGTTGAAAACAGTTCCGTATGGGTACAGAATGCTTGTAAGTATATCAGTTGTTTACCCTTGTGATCACCTGGCTGATGAGAAACTGCAGCTGGACTTGCTAATTCAAAATTCAAAGTACAGTTTCTACTTAATGGGTATGGCTTTTCCACCATGGTAAAGTAAAAACAAAAAAAATCATTAAATTGAAAGATTATAAGTTGGGAGCTGTCTATAATAATATTTTTAAGTAAGAATGACACTGTAGAGAAAACATCAGGTAAAGTATACTTTAATCTTCATACTTAGCTCAAAGTATACTTTATACTTAGGCTTAAAGTACAGCTCACATTCTTTTATAGGAGTTTGTTAAATCTTGTGATATAGGAACACAGTTGTGAGTTGGGTAATTATCACTTACTCAGAAGCTCTTTTGCTTGATACATCTCATTAACTCCGCTAGTAAAGTATTCAAATGAGAACATGTTTGTGTTGAATATTTTTAAATAGACAGTACGGTATGGGGGTTGAGTTTGATAAAGCAGAAAAAATTAAAAGTTGAGGCTCAGACTTATTGTAAGGATGAAAGCACTTTGTGTTTCTGATTTGGTTAAAAGGGGAGAAAGAAGATCTTGGTCAAATTGAAATAAGATTTTAGAACTCTGAATGTTTGGAGGCAATAACCTCAACAAATCATGTTTGTACTTTCAGTGGAATATCTTATTATGAAATTCCATAACTCAAATACATAGTAAAATGAATAAACCAGAAGTTGCGGTACTCTAAATAGTTGTAAGAATACTTTCCTCATAGAGACCTAAGCCAATGTTATCTAAGAAACTTACACTTCTGCATTCTTCCAAAATGTACTCAAAACAGTTTCGAATCTATGCCATGCCTCCAGTCATACTCCATGCCTTTTAGGTAATAATTCTTGATTTTTCCCCTTGTTATTTCCAGGGCTTTTTGTTATTGTTATTTGCTGCACTCTTGGTGAAGAACATTCTGGAATATTACAACCATTTAGGAAAAATAACCTTCTAATGGAGAACACAACAACAAACCAAACAAAAAGAAATTCCACATAATTTCAGATGATAAAATAGAAAAGTATTCTGGTAATAAAAGATGGAGACTTGACTTTACCTCACAGACCTTCATTTTATGCTTGGAACCTATCCCTCACCCTGACACCTTTACTTACATGAATATATGGTAAAAACACCTTCCTAAAATAGAGAAGTTCAAGATTCAGGCACTTCACAGGATAAATTGCCCTGGAAAAGTTAAAATGTGCTTGCTTTTATGAAGGATAAAATTGAAATTTTGCAAATTATTATTTTCTTGAAGAAAATAGTTGCTTTACCCTCATCAAATCTACTTTATTATATATGTAGAGTCTTTCAAAAATACAGATTGTGTTGTTATTCCAGCCCTAATGGATCAGAATTGGGGTGAGGGAGGAGGAATGTTGTTGCCAAGCTGCATTTTTTTATATTCAAGTATAACTGAGGTACAAGATTATTTTAGTTTCAGCTGTACAGTATGATCCAACACCTCTGTACTTGACTCAGTGTTCGTTCATGGTACATGTACTATTAATCCCCTTCACCTATTCTCCGCCCCCCCCCACCTTTCCCCTAGCAACTGCGCTCTCTATATTTGAGTCTTTTTTGTTTGTTTTGTTTCTTAAATTCAACATATGAGTAAAATCATACAGTATTTGTCTTTCCCGGACTTATTTCAAGTACCCTTATACCCTCTAGATCCAACCATTTTGTTGTAATTGGCAAAATTTCATTCTTTCCTACTGGTTGGAGAAATATTCTAATATTAAAGAAGATGTGACATATATAGATTACTAGATCACATGGTAATTCTATTTTGAATTTTTTGAGGAACCTCCATACTGTTTTCCACAGTGGCTGCACCAGTTTGCATTCCCATCAGCAAGCAGTGCATGAGGGTTCCTTTTTCTTCCACATCCTTGCCAACACTTACCTCTTTTGGCCATCTATACGTGGCCAAAAATATCTATTCATGTCCTCTGCCCATTTTGAATTAGATGATGATGATGATGATGATGATGATGATGATTAGGTGTCTGGGTGGTTCAGTCAGTTAAGTATCTGACCTCGGCTCAGGTCATGACTTGGGGTCCTGGGATCAAGCCTCATGTCAAGCTCCCTGCTCAGCAAAGAGTCCGCTTCTCCCTCTCCCTCTGTCTCTCCCCCTTTCTTGGTGCTTGCTCACTTGCTCTCTCAAATAAATAAATAAATAAATAAATAAATAAATAAATAAATAAATAAAAATAATTATTATTTTGATGTTGAATTGTATATTTTGGATATTAATCCTTTATCCAATATATCATTTGCAAATATCTTCTATTCAGTAGGTTGCATTTTTATTTTGCTGATGGTTTCCTTCCCTGTACAAAAGCTTTTTATTTTGGTGTAGTCCCAATAGTTTAATTTTGCTTTTATTTCCCTTGCCTCAGGAGACTATCTAGAATAACGTTTCTCTGGCCTGTGTCAAAGAACTTATTATATTTTCTTCTAGGAATTTTATGGCTTTAGATCTCATATTTAGGTTTTTAATCCATTTTGAGTTTAATGCATTTTGTGTATGGTGTGAGGAAGTGGTCTAGTTTCATTCTTTTGCATGTTGTTGTGCAGTTTTTCCCAACGTCATTTGTTGAAGAGGTCTTTTTCTCATGATATATTCTTGGCTGCTTCATCAAAGACTAATTGTATAATCATGGATTTATTTCTGGACTCTCTATTATGTTCCATTGATCTTTTTTGTTGTGTGGGTACCACTGTTTTGATTACTACAGCTTTGTAGTATATCTTAAAATCTGAGATTGTGATACCTCCAGTTTTGTTCTTCTTTTTCAAGATTGTTGTGACTATTTTTTTTCTGTGGTTCCATACAAGTTTTAAGATTATTCTAGAAGTTCTGTGAAAAATACTGTTGGTATTTTGATAGGGGTAGCATTAAATCTGTAGATTGCTTTGGGGAGTATGGCCATCTTTAACAATATTGGTTTTCCCAATCCATGAGCATGGAATATCTTTCCATTTGCTTGTGTCATCCTCAATTTCTTTCATCAGTGTTGTATAGTTTTCAGAGTACAGGTCTTTCCTTGGCTAAGTTTATTCCTGGGTATTTTATTCATTTTTGTATAATTGTAAATCAGACTGTTTTCTTAGTTTCTCTTCTGTCACTTTATTATTAGTCTAGAAATTCATCAGATTTCTGTATATTGATTTTGTATCCTGCAACTTTACTGAATCCTTATCAATTCTACTATTTTTTTGGTGGAGTTTTAGGGTTTCCTAAATATAATATAATGTGATCTATAAATAGTGGAAGTTTTACTTGTTTTACTTCTTTCTACCAATTTGTATGCATCGTTTCTTTTCTTGTCTGATTTCTGTGGTTAGGACTTCCAGTACTATGATGAATAAAAGTTATGAGAGTGGACATCTTTGTCTTATTCCTGATCTTAAGTGAAAAGTTCTCAGTTTTTCACTATTGAGTATGATGTTGGTTTTTCATGTATAGCATTGATTATGTTGAAGTTTGTTCTCTTTAAACCTACTCTTTTGAGGGTAATTATCATGAATGGATATTGTACTTTGTCAAATGCTTTCTCTGCTTCTGTTGAGATGATCACATGGGGGTTTTATACTCTTGTTAATGTGATGTACTACAGTGATTGATTTATGATATCAAACCGCTTCTCCTGCATCCTTGGAACAAATCCCACTTCATGATGAATGATTTTTTATTTTAAAGATTTTTATTTTATTTTATTCATGAGAGACACAGAGAGAGGGAGAGAGAGGCAGAGACACAGGCAGAGGGAGAAGCAGGCTCCACGCAGGGAGCCTGACGTGTGACTTGATCCCAGGTCTCCAGGATCACGCCCTGGGCTAAAAACCACTGAGCCACCGGGCTGCCTGATGAATGCTTTTTAAAATGTATTTGTTGGATTTGGTTTGCTTATATTTTGTTGAGGATTTTTGCATCTGTGTTCATCAGAGATATTGGCCTATAGTTCTCTTTTTCTGTAATGTCTTTGTCTGGTTTTGGTATCAGGGTAATGCTGACCTCATAGAAGAAATTTGGAAGCTTTCTTTCCTCTTCTGTTGTTTGAGATAGTTTCAGAAGAGTAGGTATTAACACTTCTTTAAACGTTTGGTAGAATTCACCTGTGTAGCCATCTGGTCCTGGACTTTGGTTCATTTGAATTTGTGTTGGGTTTTTTTGTTGTTGTTGTTGTGGGGCTTTTTTGCTAATTCAATCTCATTGCTATAGGAGAAGACGGGGCCAGACACAGATGTTAGCAAGCTGGCTGTAAAGTGCTATTGCTGGTTCTGGAAGTGTCCTGCTCTCTAGGCTGGGGAGGGGCATGGATGGCACCTTCCAGCTCTCTTGTTCTTGGACAAATCTCCTGAAGATCTCTGTCCTTCCAGTGAGCTTGATTCTGAGATCAGTAAGTAAATCTTCCTGTATACCCAAGGTGCTTTTCAAACTGTGCAGTATCTTGGAGATATTATTTGTTATGCTGTCTCTGTAAGAGCATGGACCCAGTTTCCTAACACCCTCTTGGCTCTCCCAGAGCAAAGCTCACTGATTTTTAAAGTACCCAGAGTTAAGCCCCGCTGGTTGTATAGAGTTGTGAAGTTAAGCCCCGCTGGTTTGCAAAGTCAAATGTTTTGGGGACTCGCCTTCCCACAGCAGGTCTCCTGGATCTGGGGTTCCTGGTATGGGGTCTCTGCCCCTCCCTTCTCTGTGCTTGTGGTATCCCTCTGAGCTTCTGGTTAGTCTCACTGGGAGTTGTTTACCAACTGCATCTTCACCCCTCCTACCCTTTTTGATGTGGTTTCTTCTCTGCAATTAACTGTGGAGAGTCTGCTCTGCCAGTCTTTGGGTCATTTTCTAGGTTGGTTGCACTGACGTGGCTGTTACCTAAGATGTATCTGTAGGACAAAATGAGCTAGGATCCTCGTACTCTACCATCTTTCCCCAAAATATTTGTTTTTTTGCTTTTTGTAATATTGATGTCAGCTGTTCTGTTGGGGGGGGGTTTCAAAGGGGTTTTGGGGAGAAAGGTTTTTATGCCTTATTTAAGGCCTTTCATCCCAGAAATAAGGAGAACCAAAGCTTGGAAGGCAGCTTAAGGAGGTAGACTGAAGGTGATATTTTGAAATATTTAATGTTTTCTCCCTTGTTTACACTGAAGCTCCTTTGCCGTTAAAGCTGAACAGAATATCCATGACTTAGTACCCTAAAGAACAGAGACCAAGGTACATAGAGAAGCAAAGGAATCCAGTGAGTTTATAAGTGGATTTTGAAATAACTCAGTATAAATAGTAGTTTTGAAAGCCTTATTTTCAAGTGCCAGACCCAGTTGCCTACAGTTTCAAACTTCAAAAGTTTCTTTCTATTGTCAGAGATTTAGAAAATGAAATTTTAGGCATATGTTTGTTTGATGAAAGTAGATTGACTCTAAGGTTAAATTTACAACTGTGCGGAAATGGAAGCTTTTGAGTGAAGTTCAGTTATAGACCAAAAAGAAAAAAAAGGCACATTTCTGCACAGTAATGCCAGTGACTAAGTGTTGACGGGCACAGATCAAAATTATAAAGGAAAGAACAGCATGGAGCAATGTGGCCTCCTCCTCCATTTGATGTCATTTAATGCAGTGGAGGACAGTGATCCCAAAACTAACAGCAAAACAAATAAAGCAGAAAGCAAAATTATTTCTGGAACTAAATGACACAAGAGATGCATATAGAAGACAAACAGCTCCCTTCCTTTCTTTCCTAAACCCCTTCCCAGGTCATCTATACTGAGGAATAGGAACCTTGAAAAGAGGAAGAAAGTCGGGGGTCTTGCTAGTCTAGCAGTTAGGGCTGTTAGGTCAACACATTTGGATTTAGAAGGAATGGAAAGGAATGGAATGCTTATTTGTTTCTTTCTTAACAAATTCATTAAGAGAGGTTTAACACATGCAAAAAAAATTAACTACTTCACTGTAATATCATTTGTCTTTATTAAAGATCATGTTGATGTTTTAGTGAACATATCAACATTTCTTATTCTAAGATGAACAGTATGCACACACT